GATCTCCACAAAACAATGAACAATAATTAATCAGCATGCTTTATTTTTTTTTGGACAAATTCGTAAGGGAGAATTCGAGCTGTTACCTTAAAATAAGAAAATACGCTTATACATGACCTGACACTAAAAACTCAAGGGCAATTAATCAGCATACTTTTAATTACTCGAAAAGGGAAAATATGTGGGTAAACCATGTCGGATTCGGTGGTGAATGATTAGCGTGCCCCGTGACATGCAGAACAATAGGAATTAATTAAGAATAAGACCATGCCCCATTGCAAATTGTCGGTTGCCATCATTTAAATCATTTCTTTTATTTTTTTTTTTGCCCCCCGTAATGGTGTCTCAACTACATGTACGACTCTCTGTACCCAAAAAAAAAAAAAAAACTATTTGTACGACTCTCGTTTAAATTTTAAGACAGTATAGTGCATATCTATATTCATAAACATCAAAGAAAAATTAAAAATCATTTTTATTTTCCCAATAAAAACAAAGTTAGGAACTTCATCCGCAGCGAAATCCCCACACAACTCTATAACGAATCCTTCCAAAATCTTTCCCCGAGTTCATGCCTGTAAATAAAAATTAGTGTCTTCTTCTTACCATGTGAAACCCCGCCAGCAAGAACCAGCTTCCCCTCTGGGCCCTTTCTGTATATAAACTTGGCCGAGGTACTCCTTTTCTTCACTACCTTGGAAATGTTATCTCCGCAGATGGGTTTTGGGTGGAGGGTCTGGTTCTGTGTCTCTCTCCAGGTTTTGCTTGTGCTCTTGCAAGAAGCAAGAGCAGAGCACCAGTACTACAATGTGAGCAGATACAGAGGGGAAAAGCAAGTGAATAGGTGCAATCTGTTTCGAGGGAAATGGGTTTTCGATGCTTCTTACCCTTTTTATGAATCTTCTAGTTGTCCCTTCATAAACCCTGAATTTGACTGCATCAAGTATGGCAGACCTGATAAACAGTTCCTCAAGTACTCCTGGAAACCTGATTCCTGTAACTTGCCAAGGTGAGTTTATTTCCTTTCGCCCCTGTTTTTCTACATTGGAAAGATTCATGTTTTTTATTATTGTGGAGCTAGGGAGATTCAAAACCTGATAAATTTTGCTCTTCTGTAGATTTAATGGGATGGATTTGTTGAGGAGATGGAGGGGGAAGAAAATAATATTTGTGGCTGACTCACTGAGTTTGAATATGTGGAATTCCCTGGCTTGTATGATCCACGCGTCGGTGCCCAACGCTAAGACAGGCTTTGTAAGGAAGGACCCTTTGTCTTTTGTTGCCTTTGAGGTGAGTCCGCTTTTGCCCTTTTTCTTTTTTATTTTTAATTTAAATTTGAAACTGCTCTGCTACACAAACTAAATGTTTGTCAGTTTTTTCATTATTCAATTCTCCCCATTATGTCGGCCAAAAAAATTTTCTCCACATTAAATTTCTCGTATTCTCTCATAAAGTTCATCTTTAAGCTTCTCTTTGCCGCAAAAATTGTTTTTTTCCCTTTTTAAAGAGTGTTTTGATGTCTCCAAAATCCATTATTTGCGTTAAATGCGTAACAAATTATTAATGATTCAATATTTACTAATGTTTTAGTAGTTGAAATGGTTTTCTCATGTATAAAAAAACTTTTATGTTCTTATACTTTCTCCTCTCGTTCCTCTTCTTTTAAAACTTGAGCTACTTATTTTAGTATATTAAAAAAAATAAAATTTAACATTTAAATAATAATTTAAATACTTATAAATTTTAAAAATTTTTAAGGAAGTAAAAGAGAGATAATTAATCTTATTCACTTGTAATTCAAAAGTAAAATACATATAAAATCATTAATATGATAGTAATAATATATTTTTCTTTCTCTGATAGTTTAATTTCAAATTAAGATTAAGAATTTT